AATTCCCCAAAATCTCAGGACCGGCCCTTGTACAAGTTGTGAAAGTTCTATTATTCTACACTTATCTTGTTCTCCCGCGGACCTCTAGTTTACGTTTTACTTTTATGTTTTGTAACTACAGAGAATAAGTTATCTTATATTTGTTTTTTTTATAATTTACCTTCTTATTTTGTTTATTGATATAGATATCGTCAATAATCGTTCGCATAGTTGGCAAATTTGCAACGAAATTTTCTTTATACATGAATATTTCAAGACCGTTTTTAAATATTTTTTTACCATTGTTATGTTTATACATTTATTTTTCGTAGTTCGGCCAAATGATATAATAGTATATACCTTTTATATGAATATAAATTATAGTTATAAGATATTTGTGGCTTTTGAAAAAGAAAAGAGATTTAGGAGTTTTTTTTTTGTTTCAATGGTGGTAGATATTTATATTGAATTTTGTAAAAAATTGCAACATTTCTTTTGTTTACTACAAACTAGATGATTGGCCCGCACCATGTGCGGATATAAAATGATATAAAAAATAAATTAATTTTCGTGTTTATACAATCCAATTTATTATTTAGATATATAAAATATAATGTTAGTTTTTAACTTAAATATATGTCAAAAACTACAGAATTTCCGCTTTTAATTTCTGTTTTTGTGTTTATTTCCGATTGAGGTCGAAGTACAACTCTCCAAATTGTCCTCACCATTTGTAAGCCTAAGTTGCTGCTGTAATATTAATTAGACATTTCAATACTCTAATAAAAAAACAGCATACCATCAGATCTTCAATTATTTATGGGAAGGTTTAACCTTACCTACGATATATGTCGTGTTTCAAACTTTTCGATCATATCTTCATTGTCCCAAAGTAGTGCCATTACATATAGAGAAGTAATACGCTTTTACATATCATTTCCTATAGTGATTTTGACAAGAACTTTGTTGCCAATTCGATTGGTTAGAGACACATGTAGAGAAGATGAAGCATCATACAAAAAAGGCAATTCAAAATATTATTGTGTAATAAACTAAAATTTGTGAATAAAAAATTAAGAATTATTAACGTATATATAATCGTACTTAAAAACAATACATGAAGAACTTCCATAGTAAGTTTAGTAGAGTGTTTCTTGAGAAGTTTAGAAGCCACTTCGTTGAAAAACAAAAATTTTGCTTCGGCTTCTGATTCATCGGAGACACGTAAAACCAAGTAGTATCTACATCATAAAACATAAATAAGTATGAAAATGAAATTTCTAATTAAAAAAATAGTTAAATATTATGAAAATCACTAAAGAAAACAAATATATTACTTTGTAATAACATCTTCAACGTAACGACATATTTCACAGTTGTATAGATATTTTGCATCCAGATCATTAGAGTCTTCCCCATATTCCTGAACCTTGTTGTTACATTTGCAAGAAACATAATACCAGTTCTTTGCAACATCGATAGATTTAATTGTGGAACATTTAACACATGTCCCGGTCTGATAAAAGTGATTTTTATATTAATAGATAATAGTTTTTATAAAATGTGTAGAATATATAAAAAAATCAAACGGAAACTCTTCGTACCTCTTTGGATTTAATTATTCCTTTTAAAGTCATCCTAAGATTTTTGCAAAGAATTTATCCATGTACAAATATGGGTGAAACACACAACCAATTACTATTATCATTATGCATGACAAGTTGATTGTCAGTTAATAACCTGTTATGAAAGAACTCATTTTAACTAATATCACGTAAAATAATATTTTTAATAATACCAACATTCGATATGGCCACGTCATGAATGAGCAAAATTTTTTTTAAAAAAACCTAATTTGATTAATAGCATAATCGTGAAGGAACAAAACATTGCGAAATTGAAAATGACGCATAATTGGATAGAAAAAATAACAAAAATATAAAATCGTCATACGAATAACTAACCTCTTCACTACCGATACCATTTCAATGGAATTTTCTGTGGACATAAATGATTTCCACAAGACAAGGATTTGAGTTTTGATTTTCTGGTTTTCAAAATATATCAAAATATTCTGAAAGAGTATTAATGAAGAGTTTTGCTTTGCTATGATCGACATTATGATAGTTTTTGAGAAAATAGGCACCGAGGTTTTGATCTATAAATTATTGTGTYGATCAATCATATATATAGAGAGTTAGAAGAGGATATTTTTGTTATTAGATATTATTTTAGGATATGTATTCGAATATTCCATTTGGGCCTAAAAACCTAAAGATGTATAAGTGATATTTTTGTTCTTAAAATTAAATTAAAATCAGAAAACAAAATCATTTAATATCTAAATATAAACTTAAAAAAAGAGAAATTTTAAGAAAAACATAATGATTTTTTTTTTTGCAGCAAATTTCGTTTTTATTATAAATGCATATTAAAAAATTATAATTTAATCTGTTGTAATGAATTGAGTTGGTTTATTAAAAATATAGAAACGTAATATTCTTTTGATGATTTTCTGATGGTATCATTCTTTTTTTTTTTTTATAAATCGGAATCAAAAGATTTTATAGGAAATCTTGAATTTTATAATTTTGTTTAGTTTCGTATTTGAAAGAACCTTTTTTAGGAATAATGGGGACCGAACCTTTGAACCACACCAGATTAGACCACTGCTTAGTCTCAACTCTAGGCCTCATTGCTTCCCATGTTCTAGCCGAAGAGAACTCCCTACTTCCCACCCATCCGTATTCCACTCATAGTGGTCAGTAGGTGACTCGATAGTGGGAGGCAAGACTGTTGTTAGGTGAACGTGCAACTGCAAGGACTCTTCGGATCTTGGAGATGCCAAAATCCAACCCGTAGTGCCAATAGTGTCCGCGACCTTGGCATTGATAGGAACACGTGTTATGATTTATAAACTTCGTTGCGTTGTTTTATTGAGTGTTAATGGAATTCCATTGAATGTTTGTGTTATTTTGTTATGATGTATAAAGAACCGTTGTTGTTGTTCCCATTGAATTTTCAAAAGCAAAGCCTCTTATCATCTTCTCAAGATTCCCATTTTGTGATTTAGACTTTGTTTGACGCTAATTCAAGAAAACTCGATAATTCATTCATCCGAAAAATCTCTACGCGGACGTGCTGAATCTGAGTTTTCATCCCGAATTTTTTTACCAGAAGTCGATAAATTGAGTCTTGATCGGGAGCATCCTTTTCGGGGCCCGAGAAATATTGTTTCTCTTTACCGGGAAAATCCTTACCGAGACGTGATAAATCAAGTTTACATCCAGAATATCCTTATCCAGACTCGAGTTTTCATTCGATTTATGATCCAATTTTTGCGTTGGAAAAGGAATTAAGAAAAAAATAGATTCTTGCATGGCAAGGGACGATGCAGCTGGTGTCTATCAGACGAATACAGAGTTGAGATAACAGCTTTGTAGCACGCATAGGCAAATGTTGTGCAAGTGTTGTCAGGTAAACAATTTGAAAACTGTCCGAGGATTTTCGATGCAGAGGTAAGATCGGTATTTGTATGTAATGCTTTGGTTTAGAGAGAAGTGAGGTTTTCAACTTCTGCACAAACCGTACTCTTTTATGCTTCACTACATGCCTCTCTAAAGATGGACAATCTTGTGAGCTGAACATGAGATGTCCAAAGACAAACTTTAGAGTTTCTCATAAAGTCATATTCTTGAGCCTAAAGAAAATCAAACAAGGGATGAAATTCTAATTCCTCATTATCTCAAAAAGTCAGAAACAGTAAATCCAAAATACCCTAAAACCTACCAATAGAAAGAACCGAAACTTAGAAGCAAGCAGTTCTCTTAGGCATTTAAACAAACTCTTAGGCATTTAAACAAACACATTGTGCGCAACTATAGGCCGATGGGAGAACTCAGGTGCTAAACTTGCCAAGGGCATAATCGACAGAAAAAAAAACACACATGTGAAGAGAGGACAGAAAAAATATAACTGTTAAAAGTGTTCAAACCAGACCAAGATTCGAAGTTTGTACTTTGTACTTTGTAGCATCTGAACAATGTTTCAACATTTTTGCAAAAGAGGTCCTTATGTTTACTTTTGTCTTTTAAATGACCCTGTACTTATAAAATGTGTAAAAAAGAAACATTCGTGGAACACAAATTCTATCCAAGAAGAGAGGCTTCAAATGTTGGTAAAGTGAGATCGTGTATGTAAAAAGAAAATGTACAATCTCGTTCCTCAACCTCTCTATGTTAGTTTTGTAATAAAACTATTGACAGGTAAGATACTGATAATTTAAGTATTTTGCTAATGAGTGTGTTAGTCATGTCTAAGATTTGGATTTTTTTTCCTTTTATCAATACTAGATTCCAAAATATTTCTATATGATTTTGTTTGAGAAATTTTGAAAAAATACATTCTTTATGTTTTTAAATTTGAAAAATACACCATATTTTTAGTTTTTTGAAAAATACACTTTTTCAAATACTAATTTACTATAATATCCTCACTAAAACTGAATAAAATTAGAAAGTTATGTATCTAATAAAATCAGCTTTTAATGATGATCAAATAAATTTCTATTTCTCTATTTATTATAAAACTTAAATTCGGATTATTGTCTTATATAACTTCTCTAACAATAATGATCAAATACATTTTTATTGTTTTATTTATTATAAAACTTAGTTTCGGATTATTGTCTTATATAACTTCTCTAAAAGTGTCATATATTCAAGTTTTGATGATACCAAAATTTCGTATCTTTACCTTAGTTGAACCAGAACCAAACTGTTTTTTGGTTAAAAGAATAAAAATTATGCTCAACATATAAATGTTTTATTAATCAAATCAAACCAAACAAATTGTTTATGGCTATACCTTAACCAATTGGTTTGGACGAATATTGAATTCATGAAAATTTCATGAACCATAGGTTTACTAATCTTGAAATATTCATGAATTCTAATCTCTTTTAAAATCGATGATCAATATAATCTCGTTGATCCAATCAATTGACCATCGTAATTGTTGTA